AAGTTTCGACGAAAAATGAGTTTTTGGGGTCGGAATAGTTGAAGTGCCCATGTTTTCTTTCATTAGCAGGACATCAGCGGATCCCAGTCAAGCAACAGACCCAAAAAACAGGATTATATAGGAATGTCTCGCGAACCACTAATCTATATATAACAGAAGACACTCGATGTTGCCCATTACGGAGACATCGAGCTCAGTGCGAAGTACGTAGTCGCGGCGGGCCGCATGTTATTTGACGGCGCGAGGGCTACGGTAGCCCGTCGCTGCGTAATGATGTTAGATTGTTGAAGAACACACCAAGCATTACCTCTTTCCTGAGTGGGTTATTTGCTAACAAGGTGCATGATAAATAAAAACACTGAGACGGACAGACGCCGAGAGATTTCCATAGTCACTGTTGCAATATCAATATGGTAGAGCATTCGACTTTGACCACCCTTTTCGATAACATTTTCTACTTTCATGCAGAGGAATCATGGCAACTGCTACATGAGCTATGAGATGGATTGCGGAGCCACAAGAAGCTGCAAGTTAGTCCCTATCCTTCCAAACTAATCTGGTACCATTTAGTTGCCCCAGAAAGATGGAAAGCCTAAGTTGGAAAGGAGCTGGAATCTGACCTCAGGTTGTTCATGTGGTAATTGGCAGAACTTTCCACAAGCTTTGTAAAAAAAGTATCAGTCCGGTTCTGCGGCACATGATCAACCAAAATCATCACTCACCCCAAACTGAACTCTCCAGTTCCTTGTGTCGGCTTTGTCGGATCTGCTTTCCCTTGGTAGACTCCATTTGAGCTAATCGCAACGTAAATAATGTTAGTTGTCGTCAGCTGCACGGAAAAACTCTTGGGTAAATTCTGAAATCGATGAGCACTTAATTGACACACTTGCCTCCACTTAGTTCACATCATTACTTGGTATTTGTCAGGAGTACAATCTTTGTAGTCGAGAGCGATGGGAACTGTCCAGGTGGTAGCCCCCGTCGGAGCTTTCAAATGAACTGAACTCTCTTTCGTTTTCCGATTGTCGATCATTGACTGCAAAATTTAGAGAGGCATTAGAGCATATCGCGATTCTCTGAAACTTTTAGAAAAATAGGTGAACGTAACCAAGACATTTATTGAAATTGATACCATTGTTGCTCGAGTGTGTACCAAGATGTCGCCTCATGATCTCACGCACTTTTGCAGAGCGCCAAAAGACTTAAAGCCACGAGTCGGGATTAGGTCCCAAGAGCCAGTTCCTCCTAGAGAAAGAGGGGTCTCCAAGCGCAGGAGGAGGTGACACTGTCGCGACTCAAAAGTGCGAGGCAACGGCGCTAAGGCCTTTGCCTTGTGTGCTGCCGTGCTGCCATCCTATCTAACGCGGCAAACGTGGACCCTCTCCCCGCGGTGCTGTGATCCTCCTCTGCTCTTCACCGCACGTCTTGCCTAATTTTCAAACAAAATAACACAACCCCACTCGTGCCTTTCAGGGTACCCTTCCACTATTCTCCGCGGCCATTTAGGTGAGTGCTATCTTGCTATGTCTGAGTCTCCGCGGTCCCCACGTTGCCACGGAAATCGCTGCCCACTGCACACGCCGAACGTCTCGCAACAACTTCTCTTTACAATCCTCGATTCCAGGAAAATTGCAGTCCGAATTTCCAGCAGTGAGTGTCACTAAGGTATGGAATGCTGTTGTTGAATGAATGTTTGAAATGGCGCGGAGGCGGGGTGCCTGTGATTTTCCTCGTGACCTGACTCAAGAGAATGTGCCTCTGAGGGCTAGGATAGATCATGGTTGACTTAGGTTAGGGTCAAATTTCGAAAAAAAAAGCCTCAGCCGTCGTCATTCAAACATATTGTCACAAGTCGCATTACGTCTGACTTGAATGCTTCTACTTACAATACAGCTGATTTTATATCAAGCTTAGACGGGGTGTATTCGTCAGCCACACCCACATAGTACGCGTGGCCCTTACATTTTGAATCGTACATGGCAGTGGCCAAATGACACTTTATTGTTTTGTTTCTCAATCCATAATCCAAGTCTTACCACATTCGCTGCGACAGTGTAAGGATTCATGCCGGGGAACGTAGCAACCACGGAACAGTCGTCCAGTTGATTCCATATGCTGACGTAGGCTTCATTTGACGCAGGAAGAGGTGGCAGTGTTTGCTGTAAAGATTTACGAGTAACTGTGTGAAGGTGGAATTTCTAAGCATGACAACGCTAAAAGAATTTCCACCAAACTTACCGGAACATATGCTAACGAAGCAAATGGGCAGCAGATTATTCTAATGATATTATTTCTACTTTTATCGTCCTATTTCCAGGTGGAGAAAAGATAGGCGCCATGAACTCCCAACATGCGTGGGTGTCGTAAAAAAATTCCCTCCGCGCTACGAATGCGCACTGCGGGCACGCAGGGGCACCGTTTACGGGTCCTCCCACAGCGTGCGTACCACTGGCGATGCTGCATTCGCTTCAAGGTAGGCTTTTAGTGATGAATAGAATTAAGTAGCTGTCGAGGGTCAATTGTGAAGCTATGAGTACCATATGATTCGCCAATGAAGAAGAATAAAAGGAAACCGTCAATTGCACCAAGAGAAACCCTGCCCTTGTTGTTGCTGATATGGGACACTGTAGAAGTTGAGGGAGGTTCGCTCCAACGAACGAGAGAATGAGCATGATAAGACTGAGGCAAGAGACACGCAAAATTGGTGTGGTAACACTTTCAAAGCGTCCGATGTGGATGGGGTGGGGGCTGACAAGCTAGGGGAACCGTTGCAAAGCAGTTAGGAGCCGCGAGAACGGCAGAGCCTGCGCACTTGTGAACCAATCCATCTCACGAGCGGAAAAAAATTGTATGAACTTGCTGCAAAAATAAAACTTGACGATTTCATAGTGCCACATAAGTGTGATGTTTTAAAGTCATCGGTGCAAACAGCAATTACATATTTTTGGGACAACCTAACCGTTCAACTCAGGTGATTCCAATGTGCATCTCCGAGCGGTCCCAGCCGCCTGATCGCGTGAAGAATGCAGGAATGGAGTTTACCACTCGAACAAAGTTCGGAATAGGACAAGGAGTCCGTTCCGGGTGTGCAAGCTTTTTCGAATGGTTTTCGCATAGACATTCGGGCACATATGGGACAAGAAGCTGGTTCATTTTTTCAGCGCGTCTTTTTCCTGAAGGCCCCTGTGAAACCAGCAAAAATGTCCCTAGTTCGCTCCTCTTGTGACCACCATTTTTGCATTTCGAGTTGACGTTTCAAAATTCGCGCAAAATGGAGTTAGCATGAATAATTAGTACCAATTCATGATTAGGACCGTCAGTAACCCTTACAAATAGACTTTGATTGAAAAACTGGTGAAAAAGGTGTGACTAGGGACCCCCTTTTCTGGTATTCAGAGGGCCGTTCAGGAAAAATTAACCATGGTTCTGTGGTTCCCGCATGTGCCTCTATATCATGCAAAAGACCGTTTTGAAAAAGCTTGGGCACACCCTGAAAAAGCCCTTCCTGTCAAACCACCTAAGAAGCCCTTCCCCCGCGGCCTAGAACTCTGTACGCATCCGTCAAACTAGCGCGCACCTTTCTACACTCGAACGCCCGTCACCCTAGCGCGCCTAGCGCCATACGCTCTTACGGACTCCACGCCAACCATAACATGGTCCGCCCGGACGATGTCTTTGTGCGCGTTGGTCTGCCATGCTCTTTTCTTTCACTTCCCTGCACCTCGCTCTACTATTTTCCTCTCATCCCCGCCTGTCTTTGAAACGTCCTTCCACACAAGAGCAGAATGTCTCATAATTTTCTACGTATTTCAGGACTTCGTTCCTTTTCTCCATTGGCGGTCCACCTCTCATCCCTACTTTCACATTCAAGTGGAATCAACCCATCAATGTAATCCAGATTTTTGCCTTCAAGTCTTTACAGGCTAAACACAGCCTTACCGAAGAAAATTTCAAGTAAGGGTTAGAGTAATGCTTTGCGAATGTATCTACGCGCCTAGCCAGGGGCTACAGTTTTGTGAGGGCACAATACTAAACATGCTGCGGAACCATAGAAGACTCGAAAATTAAGCTGTCGAAAGAGTTAGATCACTTGCGTTATGACATAAACATAGAAAGAGACTGACATTGACGCTAAGTTGGACAAAGCCAGTGACGAGGAAGGATAACGACGCTAGAAAACCACCAGCAACCATCTTTCGCAAAGGCCTGAAATGCTAAATAAGTACTACTCGGTACCATTGAATGTAGAGTCAAATCGAATGTCAATTTGCAGTCCCAACACCGTTTATCAATTCAGTGATACTACGGAATTTTTTCGTAATAAGCAGATGAACAATTTCTTTTTTACTGGAACTGACAGACATCTTGTATGCGTTCCACTATCTGAACACAATCGACGCTTCAATCTACTCTGTACTCACGCGATGGGCCGGACCGGGTGGGGAGGCAGGCTGCTCACGGGGCTCCGCTTGTCTTTGCTTTGCTCACGGCCACAAGTGTGATAACTCGACATGCGTGAAAAAGTAGAGTGAGAGTTTACATTCCCTTGCTAAAGGGCAGGCAAGCAAAGCTAAACGCTGCCACCTTCTCCCCTGTTAATTATGTGAGGAACATTTCCGCTACATTACTTCCACTAAAGACTACAGGGTGTCCCATAAATATTGCACCAAATTTTGAGCTCAATTTCTGTAGCTGTTTATAGCTTTTCTTCCGAGGTTGACTGACCTTTCAATTCCCTATCCTCTTGTCAATGACCATGCCAAATTCCACAGCTTACCTTTCGTTGTACATCTCATGGTGCACCTAATACTCGAGAGAGGTCCTAATCTCCCATGCAGTAAGGACGGACATCTGGTGATGAACGTCGCGCTTCTTTGGATTTTTACACGCTCCACGGCCTACTGTGGACTGGATGAAAGAGCAATGAAAGTAGTCTTTGTTGCGACTGCCCCACAAGTTCCGACATCTTGGATCTCAGGAAAAGCATTATGAAGCGAATACCCAGGTTGGCTCGAGAAAGATGACCAGAACGCTGGAGTTTCTTAACACAGCCATGTAGTGAGTTGTCGGATAACAACTGCTCACAGTCCATTATAAGTTGCATAAACACCACTGCTCAATCCAACGGGAGGAGCACAGCAGAGACAAAAACTTCAAAGAGCTGATGTCGAGGGCCGAAAATGCCAATCACGCGGGCATCGTTTTCATCGACGACAAAATTTCTCACATGGAGCAGAGCTACAATCTTCAAATTCCGGGGATGAACGCACGAGGTCTTAGGGAAGTCAGTGAGAGTGGAAGGGATATTTGCTACAGGCAGCAATCGAACCTTATCGTGGTCTGGACGGGGGTCTCAACTACCGCTCGCTCACCATCACTGCCTGTTTACAAAGGAATACAGCTTGATACTAGACCGAGTCAAGGGACATTTCGGTGCACCATCTGTTAGTGAGGTATCTAGCCACTTTGACGAGGGGTGATGATCTTTCAATAGGACCCAGCTTCTGCATAGGAGGCAAAATTTGTTCAGGAGCGCTGTTGAGGCACTCTCTCCGATTTCACATCCCCGAACGAATGGCTCTCCTATCCCTTGATTCCAGCGTGCTGGACCATCCTAAAAGGGATATGTTAGGGGGCAAAGCCTGCACTAAACATTACATCTACACGGATGAGCCGGAGCCTTTTCTCTGTAAAGTTTTTAAGAGAACACCCCAGGATGCCATGCGGGCCACAGTAGAGTTGCGTTTGAAGCAATAGGGAGCCATACTGACAACAACAAGGGATCGTATCCGATGGGTATCATCCCTTCAAATATGTAAATGTATTGGCAAAATTTCTGTAAAACTTCTTGAATATACATACATTTTGAAAGAAGTTACAAGTAAAGAAAAGTGGTGCAATATTTATGGGACACCCTGGTACATTGGTGATCAATTAATAATAGTGAATATACGCAAGTTGGCATGCGCAGCGGTGGGCCCCATTCCACGGCTCCAAAGTGCGCAGCAACGGCTTCGAAAATTTCCTTTGACGGCATTGAACTCTTGAACCGCACTCCTGACCTCTCGCTGTTAACTCATGGCGTGCAGAGCTAGCGAGCTAGACCTTTCGTTGCCTTGGAGGGTAGTCAGCCTACTCTTAAAGGGGGTTCAGCTAAGTGAGCTTATAAAATAAATAATAATATAAAAGACTTGGCAAAATCATACTGGTTAGACAAATGGACTTTTCCGATTAGTAAACCGCTTTTTTGCAATTCAGTAGAAATAACCTGGCTTTGGTGAGCAATGGAGCCAGCAAATCAGAAATTTCGCCCAAACGTCTATAGACGTAGTCCAATGCCAAGGAAAAGAAGGACATATTCTGGGTTTCATCAGCGGATTCTTTTGCATCTTGTTAACGCTGAGTTAGCATTTAGCTCTTGCAGCGCTATATTCAGAAATTCTCTTTCTGGTCACGCGGCATACACTCTTGAGAATGACTAAACAGACCCCTCCCTAGAATAAAGTCGTTCTCTACAGCCATAGCTAGGGCCACTTAAAACGCTCGAGAAGACTGAAGAGATTGGGACTCGGAGCAGTGTAAGCTACATGAATCGGTACCTGTCCACCGTCGCGCTGTCTGTGTCTCGCTCCCCGCTATGCTCTCTTGCCTTCATCTGTAGTTCTCTCGCCTCGACTTCACAGTGTCCCATAGGCTATTTGTCATCTAGGCCCTCCCATTGTCCAAAAAGCAGGGCCTAATTTGAGATATTTTCGATAATTCTTTCCTTCCCTTCAATGGCGAGCCAATCAGCATCTAGTGTTTCATATTTGCACCCCATTGACTTGTTTCTGCTTTCGAAAAACGTGCTCTCAGAGGAACCGGCTATTCCCAGCTCAAAAATCATTGGAGGGCAAAGTACTTTTCCCTGATAACATTCCACTGTAACGTCATGATGGGCAGTGAATAGTTTTTCGAGTCAGAGGCAAACAAGATAAAACTTTCTGCTGACACCACAACTGGTCTGATCTTGTGCACTATGTGCACGTTTCCGCTAGAATGTCTTCTTCAGCACGGAAGCGTTTTTCAAGTGAACTCTTTTTTGACAATGGATTCCAATATTGAGAGTTGGCATATGGAGTAAAGTTGGATACTCACGTGAGATTGAAACATTTGGCAGCGAGAGGATAGACGATTACTTGGAAAAGTGGAATAAATATCAGAATGAGTACTGCGTTTAAAGTCTGCATTTGGTCAGGAAGCAGAAGTATATCACTAGAAAGACGGCAGTCCATTTGAATACCTTAATGAAGCTTCATAGACGGGGTTATAACAGAATTCGTTTGTTCATTACATCAAGATCTTACCCTGAATCAGCCAGATAGAACCCTGCTGATCGTAGAGCGCCCAGAACATCGGCACCGGCAAGAACATGATAAGTACCCGCAAGAGTGACTTGATGTCATCGATGAACGATTTCTGAAAGTCATTTCTCGGCTGTGCTATTTTGTAACGTAAACGGGTTTTATGTCGTGTGCCGTGTGAATCGTTAAGCTTCTGAAAGTGAACAAGAAAGGAACTTTAGGACGTAGTGAATGTCGGAAGAAACTGGAAGTGGCCCTCAAAGCGAGGGTAATAAAGTTTCTGGGCGTGAAAAGGGAAGCTGGTCGGCCGGAAGCGATCTTAACTTCCGAAGAAATTTTATTTGTTTTTCCCTAGTAGTTCACGAATGTACATATGTATAACACAGTCACAATCTCGTAACTCACCTCCGATGGGCTTGAAAGCGAATTTTGCGATGAAAAGACAGCTCAACAGAAATGCGGAAGAGGTGGTCAGCGTTGTAGGAATAAAGAAACCTATGAGAAACGGCCCAGAATC